TGCCGACCTCTCACAGCCGCCGTGTGCCCCTTGTCATGATCGGGAAATAACGGAAAAATGAATGGAAAACCTAAAAATTAATATGAAAAACCATCAGGCAGCATGTGACTTAATGATAAATTGTATTTATTAACAAGGTCATTACATCGACCTGAAAGCTTATGAAATAATTAATTTAAACGAGACTGGTGGTTTTTTTTTCAGCAACTTGTTTGCTAAAAACTTACCTCATTTGAAATGTAGGGTTAATTTCAATTTTTGATATATTGATAAGTAATCACATATATAATGCATAACAATATACATTGTATGTATCTTTGATTTTTACAGAGAGTGACTCTTTTATTTTTATTTATTTATAAATGTTTCTATCAATTTTGCTAAAATTCCAATATGATGAAAACTCGTGATCTAAAATAAACGTCAACTTGCCTGTATGACTTCATAATGCATCAATCATTTCCTCGATGCTTTTATAGACACCTGCTTTGTGTATTTTTCCTTATTTTTTTAACACTTCCAGAAAACTTTAATTTTCAGTCGATTTCCCTTTCAGACAAAGTAGGATACAAATATTAAAAAGCGCAGTTCCTTTTTATCTCACCTGAGCCAAAGGCTCAAGTGAGCTTTTCTGATCACATTTGTCCGGCGTCTGTCTGTCTGTCCGTCTGTCTGACTGTAAACTTTTCACATTTTCGACTTCTTTTCAAGAATCACTGGGCCAATTTCAACCAAACTTACCACAAAGCATCCTTGGGTGAAGGAAATTCAAGTTTGTTCAAATGAAGAGCCACACCCTCATTCAAGGGGAGATAATTGGGAATTAATGAGAATTTGGTGGTATGATTTAAAAGTCTTCTTCTCAAGAACCACTGTGCAAGGAAAGATGAAATTTATGGGGAATCATCCTCAGGTAGTTTAGAATCAAGTTTGTTCAAATAGTGACCCCGGGGGTAGGGCGGGGCCACAATGGCCGACCAAAATTTTACATAGAAATATATAGAAAAATTCTTTAAAAATCTTCTTAAGAATAAAACAGCCATAATTGATCATATTTTTATGGAAGCATCCTCAGGTAGTGTAGATTCAAGTTTGTTCAAATCATGACCCCCGGGGATAGGACGGGGCCACAATGGCCGACCTAAGTTTTACATAGAAATATATAGGATAATTCCTTAAAAATCATGTTCTCAAGAAGAACAAAACCATTATTGATCATATTCGCCGACCAAAGATTTACATACAAATATATAGGAAAATACTTTAAAAATCATCTTTTCAAGAATAGCAAAGCCATGGTTGGTCATGGGACTACTTTTGAATTTAAACTTTTCAATCATAAATCAATCTCTACTTTTTCCTAGCCACAGTGCTCAGGTGAGCCATGTGGTCCATGGGCCACTTGTTTTTAGTTTTTACAACAAAATTGAAAGGGGGAGATAACGCCGGAGTCGAACGCACTCTGCCAAACTCTGATTATTATATTGGCAAAGTACATTTAAATGAAAACTTTATGACTATTACAATCAAAATGCTGATCTTTTTGTATACAACAGTATGATCACGTTTTCACGTACAAAGAAAGATCTTAAATTTATATGAACTTTTTTTGACCATTTTGTCATTCAAATTTGATATCAAAAAGCGTGTAGATATTTTCGAAGTACCAGTTTATGTTACATTGCAATTTTGTTAAACGATAAATGCGCTTAGGCTTTTCTTTTAGATCGTTTTCAATGATATATTAAATGGTGCGACCTTTCGTGAAGGTGGATCATTGGTTAATTTTCTTGTTTCATAATGAATATTTATCATAAAGTTCTATTAATAATCAATCAAAGTATAACAAAGAACATATTCTTTCTAAAAGGAATCCCATCATATACTGAAATGTAAGAGTTTCTGGTTTAATAGATCTGGAAATAAGTATTCATTTCAAATTTCTAAAACGAGGTTTATTATGTACAAACAAGTTTAATAGTAATCGGTGTTTCCGTCTGTCTGTACGGCTATCTGTCTCTCCCTTTGTCCGTTCTTATGCCCATCTGTTACGCTTTGGGGAATTCATCTCTTATCATCAAATCCTCTCATACCACTGGATGAAATTTCATGAAACTTTCACAGAATCTTAATTACATAATGCCATTGTGACCTCATATTTAACTTTTTGATCCGACACATATTTCGGATTTCGAATCGCAAAACATGGACACTGCCATTATATGCATATGGGAGGCGTGGGTATCACAATACCTCTTGTTTTTATACTAATTTTGAGGTCATTATTTGCACACTGAGTTGCCCATAGATTTTTCCGTTAATTTTTAAATCATGACAAGAAGCACACGGCAGTTGTGACCGTTTAGCAGGAGGTGCTCACTGGTCCATGACACCTGATCCTACCTCTGATATTTTAAAGGCCGGTCTTTGCTCAGGTCTATTTTGTAATGTTTAATAAACTTTTGAGCTCAAATACAGTTCGTTAACTATATATGTTTCACTCCACTTATTTCGTTGTCAAATAAAAAAAGTAAAATTAATACATCTATCTTGTATAGTACTCCCACGTGATTGACATTTGATAAATTGTCTCTTAATTACAATCGACAAGACGTTGGTCTCGAGGTGACGCAACGTATTAATGATCAGGCTCAGGGATCATGAAACAGACTTAGACTTAAGTCAAAATTTCAATTATCTATAAAATCTTTAAAACTTGTTAAAGGAAACTCATAATTTGCATACAACAGCAGACTGATAATACAAAATCGGAAGGCATTTTCATTTTGGGCTGCTTGACCTCTAAAAAAATTCAGCATCTAAGGCATTTTTTGACTTAAGCTTAAGATGCTTCATGATCCCGGGGCCAGATGAAGGTTTTGTTTAGTGCCTATCGAACTTACGCGAACCTACACGAACTAACACGAACTTAGCTCAAGTGATTAGATCTTTTAAAAGGACAGTTCATCATTGTTATTTAAACTCCAAAATAAAGTACAAGCAAGGACAATGTTAATTGATATAACAAATCATTAAACAGCTGATTGATTTCATGTAAGTTAAAACATTTCTTCCAGTCGCCTTCAAGGGAGTAAGATATCCGGACGCCTGATATCCGGATGCTGCAGTATCCGGGCGATTTTTCATTGGAACGGAATTTTTTTTAACGATATCTTCTAATATGAAATATTTATCACACAATGATAATTTTTTTGTATACGTCATGCATCATAATCTCTTCAGTCATGATGCTAAATATCATATAGTAATTGATGAAAAAAGTATTTTTAAAAAAGGCTCAATCGTAATTTGAGCCGGGGGGCTTCTGCATGCTACGGGAGAATCTCTCACCTCGGCCATTGATAAACTTGAATTACCGAGAAAATTAAATGAAAACAAAAGCTCACATATAAATCGTTTATATCACGTTCTATATCGTCAATATTTACAGAAAACAAAGTGTGTCAAGTTTGGCCTCTACTATTCACCTTTTGATTTCGAAATCTATAGGCGTCTTTCTAGGCCATAGGGAGTTGTCTTGTAGAATTCAATTGCAAAGTTCAGAGAGACAGGAATAAAACCACCCTTCTGTTCGGAGGGACGACAGTAGGGCGGGGTTGGATTAGTTTTCAACATGGTTCAAAATGGTTCACAATTTAATAATAAAAACCCATACCCTTCTTGAGATATCGCCCAAAAATGGAATTTTAGCACATATTCAAAATGTATGAATCTACGACTTCGCCTTAGCTTTGATCTGTTGACCTAAAAACATTTGGGGTCTTCCTCAAACCATAAGCAGCAGTTGTGATAGGAAATATTATTGCAAAGGCTCCAGGTTTCTCGAGATATGGGATGGAAACAAAAATGCTAAAACAGACAGAATGATTGAAATGTTGACCTGGACTTTTGATATTTGACATAATAATCAGTAGAGATCTTCCCTAGGCCATGGGGAAATGTGTAAAATTTCATTTCAAAAACTCAAATGCTTCTAGAGATATTGCGTTGAAAAGATAGGGTTACACACAGACAGAACCTCAGACGGACTGACAGACCGACCGAAATTAATATTTCCCCCTTTCACCGAGGGAAAATCAAAACCCACCGGGCTAGAACAGGCATCAATAATTATTACAAGGGGATGCCGTCTGGTGAATAACTGCTGAGTTTATGATAGTCAGGTGAGCATTATGGTCCACGGGCCTCTTAAAGTTATATATTTTAAACTTTGATCATGGCATTTCTAACCTTCAAATGCTCATTTGATTTTTAGACTTCAACGACTTTAAAAGATGTATTAACGTTTTTTTGTTTTTTTTCAATATCATATATACTAAATAAAGTAGAATTTGAGCTTATTTTATTTAATGATACAGGTAGCTAATGAGACAGTGTGCACAACCCACCAAAGTTCACCCTTTTTTGTACGTATTATGCAAGGGAGAAATGTTCAGATTTCTTTGACTTTTTACACGTTTTATTCAATAACATTATATTGATCGCTTTCAAGATCATTATGTGCGTTTTGGCGGCAGAATTGGGACATCCTGGATCCGCCCTTGTACTTTGATTTACAAGAATCTATAAGAATTGTATTTAATTTTTATAAAGTATGAGTTAGATTGTAGCCACTGATTATGAATACATAAGTATTCAAAAGGTGGTGTTAGAACAGTGATACATCTCATCCGTTAACTGAATTTAAATCGTATGTTTTACAAATTATAAATTTAGGGTTGTCATCACATAAGATTTAATACGTCAAATTTGATGTTATTTCAGCTATAAATTATTTACATTGTGTTATTAGCCACACGACACACTTCATTGGAAATGAATTACATGCATTTAGATAAAGATCATAAGCTTAAAAGATTATAAAGGGGCATGGACACGGTTTCTGCTAATCAATGATGCTTCCTTAGGTACGAATTCTAAACATTACAATTGGTTTTAAAACTGTGTCCAGGCCCCTTTAAAGCTCCTAAAAGGAATACGGGCAATTATCGGATATTTCAAACCGAAAGTACAAATGAGAGATAAAATGTCTTGAAAAGTCACTTTGGACGTATAAAAATATGGTATGTACATACTACAACCTTTTTATTTCAGAATATATCTAACTGCTTTGGTTGAGCAATGATAAATGTACGATTCTATAAGCAATATGTTTTTGTTTTAGATGTTTGCTTCTGAATGCTTTTTATAATACCTTGGAATGGATCACATACCTCGATTATCACAAGCTGTATACGTAGGATTGTGTCATGAAATAGGGAGTCCTACAGAAGTGAGAATCAGGAGAGAAGTGATGGACACTAATGACGCTGTTAATAAATCTGTGTTTAAAATGAGGGGCTATCACCGAAAATTCAGTGGGAGTAGATGTGAGGGATTTAGACTAATAACTTCTGATGTTGATTTAATGATGTGGCCTCTAGATCACAAAGTAATTTGCGATCTCTCTCAGATCAGTCTCTACCGTATTCCACAACAAACCGTGATTCTGATGGTGGGTGATGATCTACCACCAGGATTTACCAGACTTAATTTGATGAGTACCTCACATGATAAAACAGTCAGCTCCTCCTGTGTGTTTGTGAATGACAAAGATTATATTTCTAGTACATTATTCCGAAAAAATAATTTGCAACGTTTGCAGATCATTAGCCCACTCCTTTTTTCATCCATTACACATGGACCCTGTTCATCGAGTATCAAAGACGACAATTGTGAAGGAGAAATTCTAATCTGCCTTCTATCACACCACTGGCCTATAAAAGCATTACCATGGATACAAAGATGTCATCAACTAGGATGGCCGTCTGAGAGTGTTGTATCGGATATATTAAACGGGGGATTCCATGTTGTTCCTATCGGCAGCACACCTTATCATGAGGAGGAATGGAGAATTTCATTCTCCCAAGCAGAAGAAAAAATTGTTTGGGCAATGAACCACTCTCAGTTTTTGTGTTATGGTCTTTTAAAATTTTTCCTGAAGGAAGTTATTAATTCTCAAAACAACAATTCGATTCTTTGTTCGTACTTCATAAAAACGAGTGTTTTTTGGGTAATTCAGAGTGATAGTGTTTCGATCTGGAAAGAAGAAAAATTATTATTTTATTTCTGGAAATGTTTCAAATTATTGATATACTGGGTACGAATCGGAGAATGTCCAAACTTTTTCATTCCACAAAACAACATGTTTAGAATAAAAGTCACTGGTTCTGTACAAAAGTCATTGTTCAGCCGGCTGTATCAGTTATATCGTGAAGGGATATCATGTCTTCTATTAAGTCCAACCCTTAGACCTTATCTCAGTCAAGCCATTGTATATAGAACCTTGAGATTCTGTACGGACGAAAGCAGTATCATAACAAATTCAGAGTTGGAAACCAGCTTCTTTGCAGAACTAAACTCTTTTGAAACTAACTTTAGTTTTAAGAAATACACAGAAGTTGCAATTTATATGAATCAAATAGGGAGACTAATTCGAAAAAAACGAACACTGCATCAAGCAGTTATTTTACAATATATTACATCTTGTACCTTAAGGAATTCTGCTCTATTGATACAAAACATTACATATCCAAATACAAATCGTACTATCTATATCAGTACAGGTAAAGTATCTTCATTGTTAAAATTGTCATGTACAATAGGCTGTGCCTCAGAAATGTTGTATCTTTCTGTGTACTTCTACAGAATACGTATGTATGAACGGTCACTCAGTATTTTACAGAAAGCGCAGGGCAGAATGTCAGTTCCTTACATTGTGTATGGAAACATTGTAGATAGAGATATGTACAGACGCTACACGGCAGGGATGTCACTTGGTAAAAAAATCGGAAAAGCTGTCGTGTTTGACACACTGATGTACAATGATATGTTAGGTTACATTAATGAACTAGTATTCGAACAAAATGCCAGTAATAAGAATGGAATGACTTTATTGAACATTCCACCTCGAGTGATGTTACACATGTTGTTTATACTGAATCACCACAGACTGGGTGACACAGTCAGGTCACAACAATCTCTACAGGATCTACACAGTCTGCTGCTCTATGATGACGGGGTCAATGTACCTTTACACCTCAGGGATATTTCTTGGCAAATACTGGGTATCTGTCAACAAACCACGGGAGATTATTCAGGATCTCTACAGTCCTATCAATATTCGTTACAACAATATCCATTTAACAAGATCCAGGAAGCAACTCTTTTTAGAATGAACACACTTCCTAATGGAGCTATGTAATACTGATTTGTTAAAATGAAAACTTGTTGTTGATTTGTTTTGTATCTTGAAAAGGATATTCATGTAAATTTATTCTTATTACCTAGATTATTTTTACAATTGATTATTTAAAAAAAATGTACACCTTCTTTCCTTTCTTTCATATCTTACATTTTACTTGTATTATATGACTTGTACTCCCACTATACTTTCATTACAGATGTTCTACATGTTATACTTGTTTGCATTGTTCATGATTAAGATAATAAACGATGATAGTTTCAAATTTCTCTTTGTTTTATTTAAAAACAAAAAGTATGAGTCAATTGTAATAATTTCTGGTCAATACCTGTTTGATTAATTGCATATTAATTTTGAAACATTTATGTCGCTGAATGTAAACTTACAGTTTGTATTATATTTTATTCTTATTGCACGGAATGTAAGACATTAAATTAGTATCAAAGATTGTGCAAAATCTTCATTAATTCAACTTCGTGCCCAGAAAAATATCTCTAACTTTCTCTTACTCTAACTTTTGCTTCTCTATTTAAAAATCAAAAGAACAGCTAGAAAAAAGATTGAAACAATCCAGCAGTCAACCAGTCAAGTTAACCATTTACATACAAGTAATGTAAACATAAAAATGTTAAAAGAAACTGTTCTGCGAACATTTATTTTTTCAGACATTTAACTTCTTACTTTGATGCAGTTTAGTCAATACATGCTTGCGCCGTTATCAGGGTTAGGAAACATCAAACCTTGTTTTGGCATGTTCAATGTTTGAAAATATATAATGAACATGACCCATAAGATTCTTTACAACACTTAAAATATAGAAAATTTAAAAAAAGTGTTAAACAGGTTGAAATCCCTACCTTATATGGAAGGCAATTTTCAACATGTGACAATACCACACCCGTTCTCAAATCAAATGGAATGAGTCCCAAAGCATGACAGTCTACTACGTGTTTACGATTCAATGGCGACACGTGGTTTGTGTCGGTTTACTGCACAATATTTAACTTCTCACCGTAAAACTGTAGAGCTTCTGTAGAGCTTCATTATCACTTTATAAGACCGAAATTGAAAGATTATATTCTGAAGACATTGCATCATGCTCACGCTTAATATTGGACTTGTTTTAGATGATCAAAAGTTGCTTCGAATACGATTCAAACTCTTTGACATTTGCATGTACAAAAACACTTCCTGATAATATTGAGGGGCTATCACATCTTCTCCTGTTGTCGTATATTCTACCTGCTAAAACTATGTACACGTTTATCCCGTGAAAAAAACTTAATGTCTTACCGTCACGATATCAACTACATCTCTTTGAACAATGGTTTAGGCCGATGCACTATAAGTTGATTTAAGGCTTCATGAAGCAAATTTGGTAAATGTGAGCATATAAAGGAAAAATAATACATCATTTTTAATATTTTTTTTACAAATCTCAGAAAAGAATTGAAAACAAGTTTCCAAGGGACGATTCAAGTTGCCATTTATTTTCAACACAGCTGGGTATTTGTAGTAGCCAACAATGCATTGCGGCTCAATCAACAGTAAGTAAATAAACAGATAGCTAATTTACATACAAATTTATGCTGACGTCAGAAAATCTAGTATTCTCAACCTGTTAAATGATAAGAGAAAATGAATTATCAAACAAATATTCCTTTCATTTCAAAAAAGAATTTAGTGTTTTCTTTTCACATAATTGTTACTTCAAATAATATGTTTTTTTCAGTTATTGATATTTACTTTTATTATTTTTTTACGACTTTTTATGCAACAGGGTAAAACGTTTATGTAAGTATGCTGAAACAGAGTAAACCTGGAAGGTGGTAAATCAATATGATACCAATTATTATTAAACCTTTAAAAATTGTTTCTATTCCAATTATGCAGAAAAGTCTAACATTTCTAATGTTGTAAATTTGCTGCGTGGGCACAAAAAAATTGATATTTGACCACTGAGTGAGATGTTGAACCGGTCAATGAGATGTTGGACGGCTGGATATAAATAGAAGCAAGTTAACTGGAAATATTTTAAACTAGGTTTTGTGGTTGAGTGAATATAACTTGTGTGAATAGCACGTATTTGTCATACAGCTCAACACACTTTTTAAACTCCCATGGTTTTTTTTTTCCGCACAAATTAAGGTCACAATGTTATAATGCAAAGTTGTGTAACGTGACAACACAATACAATTTTATGTCTCATAAAATGTTTTATATACAATCTTTTTTACATTGTTATTGACAAATTTAGATTAAAATTGCAGTTGTTATTGATTTTTAATGTAAAAAGAATGGGGTCGACTGGATCGGGATCGAACTCATGTTTGGATCGAATTCGGCTTGATCGGGATCGAGTGCTCAATTAATTTAATTTTGCAGAAATATGAGGTTGCAATCAATTTACCGCTACCTCCCATCCTCCTCTCATTTAATACCAATATTTGAATTTTTGTTGTATGGAATTTTTCCTCATTGTATAACATCAAGCATTTACCATGCCGTGTGGCCTCTTTGTTTACGCCACCTTCTTGTTACACAAACTTGGTAATCATTATATAACAATAGCTGGGATAAGCACTAAGTTGCAATATATCATATCTAAGTTGAAATTAATCATTTTTTGGCCTTATCCCAGCTATAATTTACATGATTGTATGTAATATTGTATATTTATGTGTTTTTGTTCACTTTCGTCATTTATCTGGTCAATAAGTGACATTTTCACTCAAGTTCTCGTGTCTTCACTAGTGTTTCAAGTAACAAGAACAAGCTACGGAAAGGTTTTTCATATTGTCAGAGTTACTTTTATCAGTGGAAAAGTTATGGATATAAATATATTTTAAAATTGATTTCTAACCTAATTTTTGTCATATTCCATTACTTTAAACATAATTCACACATAATAATTTGTAGGATTTTATACGCTCTTGGGTGATATATTATGAGAGTTTCCAAATGGGTTTTTTCATGGGTTCTATTCATGTTCACTCCTCCATGGCACCTGATCCAACCTCCGATGTTTCGGAGGTCAATGTTTGTTCTGCTCTTCATTTGTATTGTTTTATGGACTTAAAGATTGAATACTGTTTGTAATCTCTATATCCTTCATCCAATCGTCTTTCTATCCATTCATTTCAAAGAAAACTTTTGCCATGCCTTCATATAGAAACTGTGCTGTTAATATAATTTCTGTATTTTCTGTACATTAATACGACACTAAGGCGCAAGATGATAGAAGTATTTCTCATCAGTTCGACTGCTTTCAAATGTTAAAAAGATGACAATTTTTCAGGTTAACTTCCTGAAATCTATCATCATGAAAATTACCTACCAACGCAAAATTTGAAAGTTTCAGACCATAGATGTAAAAAGAATATCTTTTCAATATTTTCAATTTTCTATTTTGAAAGATAAACAATACTTTATTATCATATCTTTGTACATGATTTCTTAATGCAGTTTTGTCATTTTAGGCGCTGCATTTCGACAAAACCAAGACAAGTATAGAAAATGTGCAAAGAAAGTTCGATTATTTAATTTGTAAATACCTATGATAGAATCATACACGTTTAATATCATACAATTTATAAACAAATTCCCTTTTAGAACATTGACTTTTAAAACTTAAGATAATGATTTTAGAGAATATGCACCTTTAACATGAAATATTTGATAATATAAGGGCTATGCCTCGTACTAAAACTCGATGATTTAAAGTCTAATTGCAAGAAAAATGTCACGTTAATTTGTGCGAAAAACCATGTGTTTTTTTTAATTGTGTTGAGCTGTATAAGCATATTTCATGAAGCTTTCTTGTGAAAAGTATGAATTGGATCCTAATAATCTAAATACTTACTTCCTTGAACAAAGAGCTAAATCCACGAATGTGCTAAATCGGCCTAATGATTTTAGGAAAAATAAAGTGAGGGGAAGAAGAAAATTATTTACGGAAATATTGTCCTTAGGTATCAAACTTGAATAGTTTACGCCAAAATTTTCATTTGATGACGTCATATTTGTGCAGAAAACGTCTAAACACGTGAACTTTGCTATTTTTTATCAAAATGTAGCATTTTTTCGTCTTTGATTCAAATTTTTGCTGTGGCCACACCCTTTGAACAAAAAATATTTCACACTATTAAAAAGAAAATTAAAAAAATGAATAAATAGAGTGTTATTTTATTTTGTTCGAGGGGTGTGGCCACATCGAAATATTTAATTTTCGTTCGAATCAAATCTCTTCGCACCGACCACCAAAGTGGAAATAATGGGGGTTTACCCAAATTAATTAAAAAGAAACCCACAATATGACTCGTAATATGACGTATGACAAATCATTACTGATCTGTGACAAATAACAATGCAGATAACTTTAGTACTTGTTTATAGGACAATGATATATGCAATAAATATGCCAATTAAGATACTACAGGGATACAGTAACATTTAAAAAGAAATTAATAATTGAATTGCATTTTCATTTATTTTTAGAAATCTGTATGATAAAAGATTAAGAACATTACTGATGTTTCGTGATTTGATCATTGAATTAGTGCATTATACCAGTATGTCCCAAATGTATTACATGTATCATAAACGGATTGAACTGGTAATTTTACCTGTCTGTCATTTTTGTTTTCTTGAAATAACCTATAGAATATAGCATCATAGATAGGGCGTTTGTCTCTGATTCATTCAACATGGTATGGGGGGGGGAGGGGGTATGGTAAGGTAATATGTTGGTTGACATGTTGTCAGGATATGAATTACAGTGCCGAAATGTCGTTTTCTGAAAAGAAGTCCTAGATAAATTAGTTTCAAATGACACAACAATTTTTGTTCACCCCGCATATATTTTGAAAGAACCTCGGCGTTGTCACATGAGAAAGATTCATGGTATTAGCACGTGAAGTTAGTTTCGTTTATTATACCTCTACTGAATTTTCCCTATATAAAATTAAGTGATTAGATCTGAACAATTCCATAGAAATCTCTGTGAATCAGCTAATCCTCGTGCGTTAGTTTTTGAGCTAATCTCTTCGTC